TGGACGCTCCCCCATTCTTTCTCCTCTGCTGGTTCATCGAGGGCAGCCACCCGGACCAGAGACCGGGACGTCCCTGCACCGACCTCAAGCGGCGCCGACCTCTCTTGTGGCGGCAGCTCCTCCAGAGCGGCTCTTCTAGCGATAGAGGGGGCGGGTGACGCGGACACAGAGGCCTGCCCTGTCGCCACATCCGCGAAGGATGCCTCGGGTGCGCCCCCTTCCGTCTGCCCCGCTGTGGACACGGCCACCTGCACGGACGACGGCTCCGGCCGTGCCACCTACGCCTGCGACGTCGAGGTCACGACCGGCCGCGCCGCGCCTGCCACGGGCGCCCCGGACGTGCCCTCCTCCGCCTGCTCTCCCATTGACGCAGCCATTGGCTGTGCCTCCCCGGTCGACGCCGTGGTCGCCCCAACTCCACTCACGCTCACCACCGGCGCGGCGCCAGCCGGCTCCTGGCGCGTTTGCCGAAGGAGGATCTTTTTCGGAGCGAGCCGCAGGAGAGTCCCACGTCCTCCGACGCTGCAAGGGACATGGCGGGCAGTTCGCGACAAAAATTCGTTAAGACAAAAGGACGAAAAAACTCTTGACTCACCCTGACGCCATCATGCGAGGACGTTTTGGGGCCGGCTTGCTCGACCTCGGCTGCTCCTCGTCGGCACGTTGCCGCTTCGAGCCCTCCCTCGGCTCGGATGGCTCGGACGAATCAGAACGGCCGCCTCCCGCCGACTCCGGAGGTGCCGCCGAGGGCTCGGACGGAGCGGGGCGACCTGTTTCCGCCGGCTTTGGGGCCACCATAGACGGCCCGGACGGAGCAGGACGGTCTGATTCCGCCGGCTCCGGGGCCGCCGTCGAAGGCCCAGACAAGGCGAGGCGGCCTGATTCCGCCGGTTCCGAGGCCGCCGTTGAAGGTCCGGACGAGGTGGGGCGGTTTGATTCCGTCGGCTCCGGGGGCGCGTCCTCCTCTTGCCCCGTGGCATGCCGCAGGAAGGGCCTCGCCTGCGCCGAAGGCGGATCCTCTCCCCCGGTGGCCAGATCATCCCACGGGATGGGCGACCCAGAGCCGTCATCCTCCTCCTCTTCTTCTTCCTCCTCTTCTCCCGACGAACCTTGACGCCGCTTCCCTCGCTGCAGCCTCGCTCGCTGCTTCGACTGTCATTTCTTCGACTCGTCGTCCTTCTTGCTTTGTTCATCCGCGGCCGCATGCTCTGGCAGCGGCGCAACAGAGTCCCGGAAGACTAACCCCGCCGGCAGCTCGATGAAGCCCGCGTCCGGCCACATCACGGGATGCCTCGGGATCGGGAACATGGCGTTGGCCTCCCCCGTGGCCTCCTTGATGCGCTGCGCGACCTCGCTGTCGCGGAGCAGCCCCTGGGCGAGCGTCGTCCCGATGAGCTGTGCGCCGGGCGTCATCCCGTACAGCGGGAGGACGCGCGCCATCAGCGGCGCCACCCTCCTCGCGTGATACCCCCCGATGACGCCGTCCCCGCGGAGGCCGTGGGTCTTCAGGAACGCGATGACCTCGAGGAGGTCGCGCATTCTCTTCTTCTCCTTGACGGGTGGCCCCCACGGCCATGACGGCGGTACCTCTTCGACCAGGCGCCTGGAGAAGACCGGTAAGGGAGCGATAGTGTCGTCCTTTAGGTAGAACCAGTGCGAGTGCCATCTCTTGTTGGATCTGGAGAGCTGGCAGGGCATGTACTCGGCCGCCCGCTGCCCCCGGAGGTGGATGCTCGCGCATCCCATAGGCACCGGGGTTTCCCGGCCTCTCTCCTTCTTGATCAAGGAGATGGAGAAGAAATATCTCCACAACTCGAAGTGGGGCTCGATCCCCAGGTACCCCTCGCACATCGCGATGAAGGCCGCGATATGCTGGATTCCGTTGGGGTTCAAGTGCTGCAGCTCGATCTGATAGTGGTGCAGCAGACCCCGGAAGAACGGGTGGGGAGGAACCATGAGTCCGCGCTCGTGGAAGGGCGCGAAGGAGACGACATAGCCATTGGGCGGCACCGGCGCATCCTCATGGCCGGGCACAAGCCACTCCGCCGCATCGGTCCTCCCGCGGAGAATACCACGCTTGATGAGGTCCTCCATGCGCGCATGGGTAACATCGGAGCGGTACCACGAATCCATGCAGGATGGAGGCGGCTGCGGAGAAGCAAAGGTGGCGGCGGAGAAGCGAAACTACAGATCTAGGGCTTCGGCGGCGGATTAGCAAGCACGGAAGATCCGAACGGCGGCGGCGGAGAAACGGAGAAGGTAAGGCTGTGGTTTTGGTGAGCAGAAATGTGAAGGGGGAGGCCGCTATTTATAGGACAGAGCGGGGCGAGAAGGTGAACCGTTCGCCTAGGTTCACTCCACCTCCCTCCAAGATCGTGCGCACGCTATCTCTGGCCGCGCCCTCGAAGGACACGTTGGATGACGGTTCGCCCGGTCGATGGGCCAAGAACCGTCGCAGGTAAGGAGAGAGACACTGAAAACGCTCCTACGGCCCATTCATGACCAGGAGTTCATGACCAGGAGTTCGAAGGCTGGCCCGCCGACAGGTTCATAGCCGCTCTGAGGCACCCTTAGAGCGAGGGGTGGAAAGAGATGGGCCCACTAGCGGCTAGTACCCGGGCGCACGAGCGCCGCAGGCATCCCAACCCATGTTCGAGTCTTGATCGGTTCCCAGTCCATGTTTTTTCTCGAAAAAAGGCAACGAGCCCTTGGGACCGGCCGAACGGACCCAAGAACTATATGGATTGGCCGCCAAGAGTCTGGAGTCGGTCACCAGCTGACCCATGCCGGACCCCCGCGAACGGGAAGCCGGGGCCCCACTCGGACTAGCCCGTTAACAGCTCACCGAGCACCATGTTTCGTCCATCGAGGAAAAACGTGGCACGGCTCAGCCCCTTCGTTTTATCGAAAAAAACGCTTGAGGGATGACGATCACAAAGACGAGCCGACCCTCGACTGGACCCCTGCTACGCGTGGGGGCTCATGGGAAGTTGGACTCGCAAGGAGACCGAACGCGCGGTCGCAGTACGACGGTAGACCGATCGGATCCTAGGGGACCAGAATCAAGAAAATTTTTTCCGACCTCCCGAATCTTATGGTTACATGCCCTCAAGAAGACCGATCACGACAAAAGGCAATTGGCATCCTAACAGGACACGCCGCGGGCTACAAAAAGAAGGCCAAGGCCCTCAGAGTCCTCCCGTCCGGAAAAGCCTCCAAAGGAGTATTCTACTCCTCCGCAGGCTCGGGGGCTACTGTCGGATATTAATATTAGGGATACCTAAAGCTAGGAAGTTAGCACCCACGCTGACTTCCCCGGATGGCTCGAGACGTATTAAAAGGTCTCGCCCTTGCCCGACCACAAGGCCGCGGGCTCCGTCTCGCCCGACCTCGAGGTTGCGGGCTCCGTCTCGCCCGACCCTAAGGATGCGGGTTCCGTCTCGCCCAAGGCCGCGGGCTCCGTCTCGCCCGACTGGGACCCATACCGCCGCCAACCACTCCAGGTTGAAACGTATGGGCCTGGGTCAAAACTCTGACGCCAGGGAAGAGGCTGACACGCCTCGATGTAACCCGTGGCCATGACGGGCCATACCTGGGGATTTACATCAAGAACAGTGTCGGACGTGCCGGTACTGTTCTGCCTAATCCTCGTACGGACGCTGACAGACGCGTCAGTTCACCACGACGTCCGCCGGGACGGAGTGGAACGCCATGACCGGCAGATGACGCCTGCGCATGACGCCAGTGACTAACAGGGCCGCGACATGGAGCCGTCCCTGTTGACATCTACAGAATCGGCGGGACTCGCATGAAGGAGGAGAAGGACCCGACAACCCTGGAAGCCTTCTTTTCTCTCGTTCTTCTCATTTTTCTCCTCTGTAACCTGCGTTTTCCCTTCGCCTATAAAAGGGGAAGCAGGGCGCCCCATGAAAGGGGAGAGATCTGGACACAAGAGCACGACACGAGCACACGGCTGAGCGGCAAGCGAGCTCTCAACACCCGTTCACTCTTTCCACCAGAGACTTGGGATCCTCTCCCTCTCTCGCCTGTTTGTAACCCCTACTGCAAACCAAGTGCCGGTAACACGAGCAGCAGCGAACTGGACGTAGGGACGTTCCGTCCGAACCAATATAAACCCTTGTGTCCTCCGAGCACACCATCCGAGCCAGACGCACAAATACAAATTTACTCGTCGGTGGTCCGAAAACACCGACACATGGATTCACGAGTAATGAGGATGCAACTTCACGGACCTACGGCTTCACCTGAATACCTGATTGCTGGATTTCATTATCTTCTGGTCTATCACTTCGGTAATAAGAATTAGCTAGGGGTAGACCGCCAGACCGGCAAGCGTCCGATGCAGCAGCGCAGTGTCGCTGACTTAGACGTCTGAACCATAGGTGTTGCCATGTGGCGGTGTGGGTGGCTGGGTGCCATGGGGATTGGATTTTGGGGCGTTGCCGTGTGTTGCCACATCTGCTCTCGTGGCGTGTGGGGTCAAGTAAGATGAGATGATGGAAGCATCGAAGAATGATATCCCAGATTTGTGACGCCCGTCTGAAAACTCCGTGACTAGCCAATCTGCTATTGGACCAGGCCCTGATACTAGAATGTGCATACCTAGGGAGCGCCCCTTGGTTTTGGGGGCCCAGAGCAACTGCACCACTCTACCCCCATTGGAGCTGGGCCTGACTATACATATATATAGTGTGAAATTTTTTTGTGCTCTAGTACTGATTAGCTTCTTCACAAGGTGAAAAAAAGGGACGATTGGGGTGTTTTCTCAATTCGTTTGGGTGCTATATTTTGCAAGAAAAATTATCCCTGCCATATTGGGGCTAGTGTCCCTCTCCATGTCAAACAGGGGCCTAACCTGCCTTTCTTTTGCTAAAGAAAAATCTCCATGCCTATGTGCTCTCAAATTTCTCACTTCAACTTTCTCTCTAGTCATCAGTATTTTGGTAACAAAAAAAAGACTACATTTCTCTGCTTTACAGATTCATGGCTGAATCAGATGTCAGGGGGGATGAGGTAAGTCTGCAATGCCCAAATAACATAGGCTGTAATGCGTGTAAGGTATATATTTGCATTTGCCTATCCTGTTACTTGCTGTAGCAAATAGAAACTGTTATGAGCTTTTGTATCCATTTAAGTGTCAGCTGGGGATCTATTTCGCGTGCTTTGTGAAGTGCATCATGCCACCCTTTGCCTGACATTTTGAAATACCTGCCATTGCTACTATTCCTTTCTGTTTTATTCTCTCTCTCTCTCTCTTATTATCCACACAGCATCATAGGGCAGTCTGATGCGAACTATTTCTGTTTGGGACACAACATATTTGTTATGCTGAAATCTCTTACTTTCATTTGTGGTTTACTTGAGTTGTGTTGTTTTGTGTACAATCCATGTATGTAAAATGAGCTTAGCTATGCATCTTATTTAAGAAATATCTTTTTTCAGCTGTCATGTGAGAGAGTTAGATTCCATGTCGAGAGATGTTTTGCTTTGGAACAAAATGGCTGGAATCACCATGTAGTTCAGGATGGTGTGCAACTTTTTAAATTGCAAAAGGAGAAGGATGGCTCTCTGAGTCCGGAGAGTTTGAAGTTTGTGCACAATACAATCAACAAACTTAGCCTTGAAGCTCTTCATTCAGTGGCTTGTATTGTTAACCAGAATAGGAATAGTTTTGAGAAGACTAGGCCAAGAATGAAAAAACTTGTAAAGAATAACCTCCCAGCTTACTTAGCTGATATGGATAATGAAAATAACAGCTATCATCAGCTGTCCCAGATCTTAACTAATCCATCAAGTTATCTATCTGACTGCATGAGCCTTGCAACACCAGTTAAGCCAAGACTGCTTTCATCATTGGTCCAAGCTTTAGATGAACTGGATGCATTGCCATTGCAAGCTCTTGTTGCAATGAAGAGGAAGCTCAAAGGAAAATCACGTTCCCCAAGGTTTGAGCTAGAATGTCAAGCTTCTACAAGGCAAGAATTTTTTGAAAAGGTACATAGAAGGTGCAATAAGATCATATCAAACCTTGAGGAAGGCTGTGACCTGCCAACGAATTTAGCAAAAGCCATGTCCGTGGTGAACCTATGCGGAAGAAAGAATTGAGATGCATGGATATTTCACTGTCAGAGTTCTTTCCATTTTCCAGGCATGTTATCTCCTTGCAGAATGATGTAATGAATGCTCTATGGTCGCTAGAAAAGATGAGACATGATACACTGAAACTGCTGCATCCCATGTTATGTTATGGCTCTAAGGAAAAGAGAGAGCACACGAAGTTTAGGATAACTGTGAGAAAGTATCTGTTAGAATGTTTGTTTGAGTGCGATGAAGGTAATTTACCAGAGAAAGCACTGCAAGTCATTGCTTTTTTTGATCGGATGTCTCGACATCAACATATGCTCACAGAAGAGAAAAAGGAAGTAGAGGTAGAGTCTGTCTTGAATTTGAGCAGCAATCTCAGAGCTATAGGATGTTATGATGTAGCTGGAGACCCAATCAATGATCAGTTAATGAACTCAGGGAGTGCATGCATAAGTGATGATCAACTTATAAACTTAGACCACCATGACCTCAGCGAGGACAATGACTTTGTACTCACAGAGACCAATTACTTCGATTTTTGTCCCCAGCAAAATATTGATGAACCATGCAGTTCCAATAGCTTGCACAACACTGCTGTTGTGAGTTCTAGGCATTCTAGAGACACAGAAGCGGCTGTTAGCATGATGGATTCTCATTTGAATAAGGCTGTTGCTAGTGTGGAAACAGCAAGTTGTTCTAAAGATCTCCATGAGCTTTGTGATGAGACTGCAGTGATGGCCCACAAGCTTATTGGACAGATTATAGAAAGTTCGTTGCGTGCAGATACCAAGGAGGTTGATGAATGCACCAGAGGTTATCTTCGAGGGGGTTCTGTTTCTCAAGGTCCTCAAGGTACATCGTGAAGACATGAACCATTGTTAACATTTTTTTTTGTATAGCCTTTGTTCATTCATCACAGTTCATCACACTTGTATGTTGATGTATTCTTTGTTACCATAGCTCCTGCAGTGGAGGATACGCAAAGTGCTGACATTATGATTAATGCTGTCAAGACTTTGTTTCCTAATTTATCAGAAAGGTCTTTCTTGTTCCTCCCTTCTTGTCCTCCCTTGTGTTCTGCACATGAATGCTCTAATACTTTGCATTTCAACAGCTGCTTTGAAAAGGTCCGGAGGATCCTCAATGGTGGTGAGCAATGAGGAGTCTTAGAGTACATTGTGCTGGCTTTGCAACTTTTTTTATTTGTACTCTAGACTGTGACAGTGTGACTTGATATTTACCTTGTGGTACGTACAGCTAATCTCTTTGGAGTGAGCATAACATTAAAGTAAAAATAATAATTAAAAAGGGATTGAATTCATTCTTTTAACTGACAAAAAGCTAATCATGTGATGCCCATCGAGCTGTTTTGAACCATATAAAGCCAAGCAGAAATATCATGAAAGCAGGGATAATGGCATCTAATGAAAAATATTGTTTAGGTGTTCAATGCAGGATTTTGGTCAAATTTCTCTTATTCTTGTCCCTTTCATGGAGGGAGCCAAATATCTTTGTTTCAGGAAAAAGAGCATAAAGGCTTACATGCTTCTCTGTCACTTTCAATTTCCTATTCTTCCTTATTAGAATAAAAGAAATTTCGTAGTGCTGTTCTCATCTTGCAGAATTCTGAGACATTTAAAATGATTTGTTTTTCGTGATATGGCAATTAGAACATCGGCAGACACTGTATAGGTGAAAGCCTAATGATTGGACTTCACAATTAGCACTTGTTTAACTTCTTTTCTCTGTGAGTGTAAAGCCTAGGAATGACATTTTACTGCCAGACATTTTCTCTTTCTGGACCCAAGTTTTCATCCAAGTTGATTTAATTATAGTAGCAGATGGCTCAGTTTAAGTAGTACCTATAACTCCAATTTAGTATAGTAATGCATTTTTATCCTGAATTGTTCACTACATTAGTCTATCTTTTGCGAACAGGTATGGTACTTTCATCCGAATATAGTTTGTGGAGTGACCGGTGAGCAGTTATTGATTCAATCTGTGAATGATACCTCAGTGAATGCATTTTGTGGGTGAGAGTGGAATGTGTTTGCCACTATTGTGAAGATTCACTAACATCATCTGCCGCTGGCTTGTGAATGTGTGGTTCAATATGTACAACATTACAAGTGTTGCATGCAATGGCATATGAGCACCAGTATGATACTACTCTTGAAATTATGTAATAACTGTTACAATTTCATGCATGATATGATACTAAGAGGTTTGGAATGTAACAGTTTGATGGCAGTCAGACAACCTACATTAAGAATCTTCTGGTGTAAATTAGCACTTTGTAAATAGGAGTTAGGCAAATATTGAAGATTTGGCCAGTGTAAATACAAAGAAAGCATTAATATGAAAGCATTATTGTTTCACATACCAAAACCAGATGTAACCATCACAACGCGTGACTATTTATTTGCAGTTTACATACATTAGACTTCTAAAGAGAGAATACAACAGGTAAACAGCTATATTCTTGTAATTCAGTAGCTCATGAGATTGCTAGGCTTGGTATGAGTTGGGACCCAGGACAATCCGTTGTTTGGTTAGACCCCCTCCCGGAGTTTGTAAATATTCTTGTTGCTCGCGATTTGGCTGAGCAATCGTCTTTAAATATAAGGACGTGAGATCATGTTTAAGTTAAAAAAAACATGCATGGTCCTGGGATCAGAAATAAGTTGGCCATTCTGACCAACCATGAGCAAAATGTTAATTTTGTCACCATATTTCCCATCATTACTGAAAGAGTTTTTTTTTACCTGTGAGCCATTATAAAAAATCATAATTTCTTCTGTGCAACTAAAAAAGTTTTGGAGACTTTTGTGGCACTGTACCAAACATTCTTTCCTTCCATGCCACTACCTGTGTTTGGGCTCAAACGGTGTTAAACAACTGGCTAAAATGACCAATTTTCCCTCAACTCAGCTGGCCTTCAATTTTCTTACGTTTACTCCCATGCTACTCATCAAATCAGTTGTAGTTTGATTTTTTTTTTCTGTTTCCTCTGTTGTCACTCTGTTTGAACTGCTATTGATACCAAAATTTTTATTAACACTCTGAATGGTTGAGGGGCTCTATAATTGTAACAAAATATTCTAGTTTTTTTTTAATCCAAAACGAATATGTAGTCCTTTTCTGTCTAATACTAGTGAATGTCCTTTGAGTAGATATAGGACAAGTTGCTGCTCACTAGGTGTCCAGATCAGAACAAAACCAACCCAAATGGCAGTGCCAAACTAATTCTGTAATGCAAATGACTAAGGGTCCGTTCGGTTAGCCTGGAACGGAGCCAGGAACTATTCCGTCTTATTAACATTATACAAATTAGTGAACCATTCCAACCGGGAATTGTTCTAGGACTCGTTCCTAAGCTACCGAACGAGCCCTATCAAATGCTGCTACCAAAAGAAATAAAAAAAATCTAGGAAAGACTGGACCTGCGAGGGTATGACCATCCCCAGGCATTGTATTAAGAAGAAGACCTTCTCACGTAGGTCCAGAAAACCTCCGAATCCCTGCTCCACCCTTACACAGCGGCACCGTCGCCATGCGAGAACGGGCCGGTCTTTAGACCTGTGCTTTGGCGTGGGACAGACGAGGGGATTTTTTTTTAACCCCAGCCTGAAATTCGCTCCCACGGAGAGTTGAACCCAGGACCTGAGGAGTGCCGCTGGGACACTCTAACCAGTTGGACTAGAGGACATAAAAAAAATCTAGGAAAGACGTATAAATGATCAAATATACAATACATCATCTGAGGTGAACAAGAACAATTAGCTTCTTTCAGCTGAGTAACACCTCACAGGGCTTTTGAATATTGATAGAATCGTCAACAACAATACAATGAAGTACATAAAAAAAGCGAAGCCTCTTATTTCTTCAAATCTGCAAAGTTCAAACACAGAAGCTTTGATCATCAGAATTGCAGGCCTATAATATGAAGCCCCAGCCCAGCTTGGTTGCCCTCTCCTGGAAGGCTCCCTGCAATTTCAAAATTGAGATGTGACCATTCGACTACTGATCTTTTTCACTGAACCTAGACTACATGCTACTGATCATTTTCTGCTGATGCTCTGACTGACAGGATTTTTGACAGTTCTAAACCCACTCGACTCTTTTAACCTAACTAGAAAAGAAAGCGCACTTCGCGGCGCCCTACCAGCGCACAGTGCCCAACAGTCCAAATTGTGAAGCAATACATACGGTCATATATAGATAGAGTCTAAAAAGCCCAGATTATAAGAAAAGAATTCATTACTACAAACCGTTTTTGCCAGTAGTTTAGACTAAATTTTTTCATCCAATGCACTAAAACGGTTCAAAATGCTCATATGAAAAAGGCAATGCACTTTTGTAGCCATGCTCATGTTCGCCCTCCTTCATGGTTTGTAGCCACCACAGAAGGCTCCCTTTAGGAAGTTCAGGAAGTTCATTGGATGAATCTTGAATTCATCATCCTTCTGTGGCACACCCTCCAGCATAGCACCCCAAATGCTTGGATCGTAGCACGTTAAAATTAAGTCCCCAACCCTACATTTGGAGCAGAGCTATTAAAATTAAGTCTAAATAGAACAGCCTGATGAAAGAAAGAAAGCACGTGTTTATTCAGGTCTTACATCAGGAACGCACTTACACACTCAAATGCTTGGATCATAGCGTGTTGATGTTACCAGTGCCCCACAATGTTGTCAACCCCACCACCATCATCTCAGCAAGTACCTAACGCATCAGCAAAATGGATGCTATGGTTAAGAACACAATGCACATATGATCCTACATCACTTAATGGATCTATACAGATTTCTTGTTGCTGGCAAGCCAAATTGAGAGAAAATGAACATAAAAAAGAAAATCACTTTGACTGTAAATTGACTACATATCTGAATGTACCATCACATGTATCTGAATTCTGAAATACAGAAAACAATAATGTCACTGTATTGAAGGCTCCAACGCAACAAATGGTTTACTCGTGTGTTGGAGCACAAGACAAATCGGTTTCTCATGTGAGAAAGGGTTTCCATCTATATTTACCTCTCTCTTCCTTAACTCTCTTCACATCAGCAAAAGTATATATTTGCAATGGTAGGATATTTAATGCTATAAAAACTGTATACTACTCCGTCCGTCTCCAAATAAATTAATTCATAGAATCCGTGCCAGTCAAACCTTTATAAATTTGACTAACTTTATAGAAAAGAGTAACAACATCTATGACATAAAATGAACACTTTATGAAAATATATTCTATGGTAAATCTAATTATACTAATTTGATATCATAAATCTTAACGTATTTTTCTATAAGTTCGGTCAAAGTTTAAAAAGTTTGACTTGGGATAACTCTAGAAATCTATTTATTCGGGGACAGAGAGAGTAGCTCAGGAGTTGGGTTGTCCTAATAAGTAACTAACAATAGTATGGAGAGTTGGGCTGTCCTAAATAACCATTGTTGAAATGTAGATGACACTGTACGTACTATACGCATGGTGATATATAGCCCTCCTCACTGGGGTCTATTTGCCCTTAGAAAAGTGGTTATATGGGGTCATGGGAACGAAAGATCCGAGGCAACCTCCATCTACGAGATGAGGTTTTGTCAACATTGCTTTGACCTAAGTGAGTAAGTGGAGTGGAAAGCATGCGCAGTTGCCAGTGGGTCGATGGTATGCATGCCTTCAAACAAATCCTGAACGTTGTTTAGCACATCCTAGAACCTAATCTAAACGAAGATCGATCTGCATGTGAAGCTGTACCGGATCTCACGAAAGGAAGCTGCTAGCATGTGGCAATCCCTTGGGACATCAAGACCGTGAAATATGTTACGTGTGTAATGGCCTTTGGATGCGTTATAGAATGATATCCCTCTGGATTGGGTAGCCTTCTTTATGCACGATTAGCTAGATGCTCACGAGCCAGAAGTAGTATAGCGTCATAGGTCACATGAAAGGCTAGCAGCTAATCTCATCAGTAAGTAACATATTACAGTGGTCACAATGCACGTTTAGTTAATACACCAATTGTAGTATATTCAAATTGGGTTTATAGTACAATTGTTCTTTCCTAACGGTCGATGCCCAGTTAATTGATGTGGTACCTATGTTCACAGAGGAATCCTCGCTGTATCCGGATGGGACCACCAGTGAAACAAATAT